TAAAAAAAGAACGAAAAGGAATTTAATCCATAGTTAATACTCATCTATGGTATACATTAGTTTCTATCTTTTGAAGGCTTTATTAGTCCATTTACTTTTGCGAGGAATTAAGAAGAAAAAATACAAATATTCAATTCTAATCGTAAGATTAGGTAACAAAAATTTCAGGCAAACTATGGGTATAGTCTTGACATATTCCGAGATAGAGGTAAATCAAAGTGCTGAAAGCACTTGATGCGACGGGCATAATTAAGCTTCATAAATTTTGTTTATTTTATCGGTTCTCTGTAAATAAACTGGAACATAAAAGCTTTCGACATATCCCGACATTATGTTTGTGCTTTAAATGATTAAATCTTTGTTAAGGTGTTATTAAGTTAGAGCCATCTTCATTATCAGTTGCTCTCAAATTCCATCTGTAGTCATTTATAGTATACCGCATTTCAACTAGACCACAGATCTTTGATTTTTCTAAAGGAAAGGTCAGAAGAAGTTGTCTAGGTTTAGAAGTACTAATCAACTCCACTTTCGTATCTCAATATCTAATGCTATTTTTCACTATATGAAAATGTGTTATTTCTATCTACATTATACAAAAGAACTATTTTTTCCTCTTTGGGCCTATGATATAGCCTTTCGCTAATTAAATATTGTAAGATCGTGTGGGAACTGTGGCCTCCGACACCTTTGTATAGGACTCACCGTGAAGTCGGGGGTACTCCTGTCTCCCGACCGCCATTGGGAAGTCGAGGGACAGGAGTGCACCTGGCACGGCCTGGGGCGCGTTTCATCGCAGGAAGACCTTATTGGAGCTTCCATGCCCCAGGTCGTGCTCTGATTGAGTTCAGGTCCACGATAGAGTAGACGGAGACCCCAGTTTCCGCCGATCAGAAAGTTTTTCTAGATCATATTCAAATTCACTCTGCATAACTAAACACTTGAATATTACCTAACACTTTAACTAAAGGGAAGTAAATGCAACAACATCTACGTACAAAGCTATTTTTGTTATCTCCCCTCATCTACTATTCGCATCTCTATACCATACCTTTTGTTATTGTTAAAAATTAGACTTCTCCATTTATACCTTAAAAATGATTCGCATGGTTACTTAAATTTTTGTAGTATATTCATTTACGTTAAAAATATTGATTGTCGTTACGACTATTGAGCAGTAATCGTCAATTTAATACTACACATTGGTGAAATAGAAAGCATACATATATATATGCGTGTATGTGTGTATGTGCGTGTATGTGTGCGTGCGTGTGTGTGTGTGTGTGCGTGTGTGCGTGTGCGTGTGACGAGAAAAATGAAACAATACCTTTGAATGTAATACTAGCTTTCTTTATTATTTAATATGTTTTAGTAATATATATACACAACAGTTTTGGCTATCCACGTACTTAAAAAATGGAAGCACAATTCTATTATATTTTTCGCTAGTATGTTAATTAACTGCTACTAGTATTTGAGCCTCATTATACTTTATTCATGTTTATTACTCCATTATGTCATATTTGTACATGAAATGAGAAAATAAAATGTTTTTTGACTTGACTTGACATTGCATAATTCCATACGCGTCTGAGGGCGCGTCCGTCGCAAAAAAGAGGAAATGATATAGGATTTATTCATTTCTAACTATAAGAGTGTCTTTACACACATGCTTAGTGTATTTTTCCTATAAAGTTTAGAAACCGACCCACTGTGTCCTTAAAGTACACAATTAGACTTAATTACAAATTTAATTGTTTTAAATTTTCAGAGGGAGATTTAAACGGACACAATATATATTTCAATTCAAGCTTAATAAGTACTTTTGCAAGGTTTTGTTTTAAATTATGTTGAAAAAATATTACAAATTACATTTAATGTTAATAATTTGAAAAAAGTACTATTTACATTATATACGAACAAGGGATATCAGTGATGATATGTATCGCCTTATAATAGCCAATCGCATGTTGCAGCTACCAAGACACGGGCAAAACACTTTTTTATTCAAGGGCAATAACTCAGCAGAAAATCATTCAAGCGAAAAAACTTGTGTATTATCCGAAAGTACTTGACATCCCATCAATCTTGTAAAGTTTCATTGACATTTCATTCATGGTATAAGAGGTATAAGAGAAGTCCTGTCAAACATTATTAACATCCTATTCATTCAAGGGCCTTATCTGGGCCAAAATCATTCAACCAGAAACACGTGTAATATGCGCAAGTTCTTGGATACCAATCAATCCTGCAAACTTTCATTGAAATTGCATATTATGGTGGGTTCATTTCTCGATTTTGCGTTAAACCCCAAAGTTCGGTACGATAGGGTTAAAAGTTGCATAACATGTTATGAAACAGTCCATGATTATAAAACATTTGCGTCAATGCAAATTAGCACCGTTACATTTTTTTTCGTATTGTTTTCGTAACTTCTGTTAAAAACTTCAAACATACCATTACAAAACATTTTAATTATCATTTTTTAATTGATATTTCACGAAACTGAACTGTTTCATAACATTTCTTGCTAATTATTGCCATGAGCAAGACATTGAAGGAAAACCATTACAAGTCCCTTGTGTAGAAATAGAGAAAATAAGAATCCCTAAAGAAAGCCCAAAACGACAAAATTGAAAATGTTGCAGGCTCGGTTTGATTGAGCCTGTTCATGGACGGTACTTTAAAGTGCAAACTACCGTCCACGCCTCCTAGCACCTTGTGTAGAGTTGCATTTAATGGTTGAATCATAAGAACTGCAGCCCCGTTCATCCCTGCATAAGAGGAGTAATCCGAACAAACTTTAAACTCCTACTAAATTCAATGAACAATAAAATGCCGATGGTATGCACAACAAGACTTGGTACTGATCAATCCTGTAAAGTTTGGATGAAATTGCACCAGTAGTTGTTGAGAAGTAGTCCGGACAAGCTTTAGTCTGGCAACACACAAGAAAAATCGCCTTTTAATTAAAGGGCCATAACACGGCCAAAAAACATTCAACCGAAAAGACCCGTGCAATATGCGCAAAGACTAGCTTCAGACCAATCCTGTAAAGTTTCATTGAAATTGCATTAGTGGTATAAGAGGAGTAGTCCGGACAAACTTTAAAAATAAAAATTATCAAAGAGCCATAACTCGAACAAAAATAATTAAACCGGAAAATGCTGACAATATGCACAACTGCACTAGACTAGACCATTTCTGTAAAGTTTTGATGAAATTGCACCAGTAGCTTATGAGGAGTTGTCTGAACAAGTTTTGTGACGGACGGACAGACAGACAGACGTTAGAGAAGTTATCCCTATATGTCGCCACTACTCCGTAGACACAAAAATCATCCTTTTTTATTTAAAAAAAAAATAGTATAAATTAGAATTAAATCCTTGATTCTCTAGTCAACTTTTTAACGCGTTAAGTTTTCATTTGGGTTCTAGTTGATAGTAAACTCAGATATATATATATGCCGCATTGACATTCGCTTCGTAATAATATATGGCTTCCGAGACTTCATATGTGGTACTTCCGGGACATCATATCTGGTATTTCCGGGAATACATATATTTTCTTGACGCTTTATAATTTTGCTGCTTGTATGTGGCTTTTTGGACATAAACAGCAAAATTTGACACTTGTAACAACAAGAGCTGTCACCCAAGTGACGAATACCCCCGAAAAGGTTTCTTAAGCATGCAGGTATTATGAAAAGAAAAGAGAATGAAAGTAACTAATTGCTGAATATTGTTCTTTGTATTATTGTACATGTAATCTCTAATTGTGATAGCATAAACCTTCAAAATATAAGTGTGACCTTGGCCTTTGAAGAAGGGACGTGGCTCCTAGACGCGACAAAATGTTGTTATGTGATATAGACATCTTTGCCAAATTATTTCAAATTCCCTCAATGCATGACAAAGTTACAGTCTGGACATGATTGTTGTGTAGGTGGGAACACACGGACATGAGCCTTAGCCGCGACACATTGTCTTTTGGTGTCAAGTTATTTTAAAATCCTTCCATGCGTTACAAAGTTACAGTCCGGACATGAATGTGTATCTTCAAACTCTTTTCGAGAGAATGAGTACCTTCAAACTATAAGTGTGACCTTGACCTTGAAGGTAGGGACATGGGTCTTTGTCGCGACATGTCGTCTTGATGTGGTAGACATTTATGCCTAGTTATTTTAAAATCCTTCGATGCATGACAAAGTTACAGCCCGGACACGAATGTGTGTACCTATAAACTCTAATTGTGATAAAGTGAACTTCAAAATGGTAGTGTGACCTTGACCTTTGAGGTAGGGACGTGATTATTGGACGCGACACATCGTCTTGATGTTGTAGACATTTATGCCAAGTTATTTTAAAATCCTTCCATGCATGACAAAGTTACAGCCCGGACACGATTGTGTGTACCTATTAATTCTAATTGTGATAATGTGAAACTTCAAAATGTTAGTGTGACCTTGACCTTTGAGGTAGAGACGTAATTCTTGCACGCGACACATTGTCTTGATGTGGTAGACATTTATGCCTAGTTATTTTAAAATCATTCAATGCATGACAAAGTTACAGTCCGGACACAAATGTGTGTACCTATTAACTCTTAATTGTAACATTATGTTAGTGTGACCTTGACCTGTGAGGAAGGCACCTGGTTCTTGGACGTGACACATCGCCTTGATGTGGTAGACATTTAAACCAAGTTATTTCAAAATCCCTCAATGTATGACAAAGTTACAGTCCGGACACAAATGAAGTGGGGACGCACAGACGGACGGACAGACGGTGCGATTATATTATGCCTCCCTTCGAGGGCATAAAAATTAAATTAAATTATTCAAACGTTTGACATTGAAGGTCAAGGCCATTTATAGATCAAAGTCAAATACACTAGTCTGGTCTTTTGAAATGTCTTGTCCAAAAGGATGTTGTGTCCGAGTATGAAGGCACAGGACAAAATCTTTTTTAACAAAGTTGGCATGGCAACGGAAACGACACCAATTAATTATTTTAAATTATTTTTTATTAATAAATTACAACTACGTACATACTAGATAACAATACAATAAGCATTTCCTAAACATACAATTATACGATCTATATTTTTCATCTACATGTATAATATATAAAATAAAGTTTTACTTATTTAAATGTACATACATGTATATAATAATAACAACATATTATTACTAATATTTTTTTCATAGAAATGTTTTTTTCTTTCTAAATCACTATCTTACATTATAATATTGCACTAGTGACGTCACCAGAAGTATCATTGTCAAAAATGGTATCATGCACACGGACGCTCGTAGTCGGACAGAATGGTTGCACGCATTTTCCGTGCACGACATCATGCATCCGCGGTAACGAACATCTTCGAAATTAAAGTCACCACACTGGCTGTCAAGTGAGGATAGTGAACATCCACGATACACCATTTCTTTATCATCATTCACTGTAATAAACAAAATAAATAGATAGTGAACATCCACGATACACCATTTCTTTATCATCATTCACTGTAATAAACAAAATAAATATAGTGAATTACATCCACGATACACCATTTCTTTATCATCATTCACTGTAATAAACAAAATAAATAGATAAATTACATCTACGATACACCATTTCTTTATCATCATTCACTGTAATGAACAAATAAATAGACAAATAACATTCACGATACACCATTTCTTTATCATTTCTATATAAACATTGAAGTATTAGATAAAATAAATAGATAAATAACATGCACGATACATAATTTCTTTATCATCGTTCACTGTAATAAACAAAATAACAAGATGAATAGTGTCCACGATACACTAAGATGGTTAAAGGTTATTCTATTTTTAGTTCTGTTGACCCCTAAAAGGACCAATTGAAATGGCATGAGCAAATTTATGTGTGACTGTCACAAAGATGCTACATCCAAATTTGATATAAATCTGCCCATCAGTTTCAGAGAAGAAGATGATAAGTGACGCATGACGACGGACGACGGACGCCGGAGCACCCCCCCCTTGATACTTTAAGCTCACCCTGAACCTTCGGTTCTGGTGAGCTAATAAATTACATCCAAATATTCACGAAACAGCATTTCCTTTTCATCATCCACTGTATAAATAAAATAAATAAGACAAATCACATATAACATTCTGAGAGAAGATAAGGAAACACGAATTCTTACATATCGAAATTTATTAATATTATATTATAAACTAATCTAAATAACTACATAGCATGTCCCCTTGATAAACTTTAATAATATACAAGGCAAACGAAAAGGACTAGGTTCTGAGTTCAAGCTATCGAGAACAACAAAATTGGGACTGAGTGGTTGATTTGATAACGTCTTCTGTCCGCTTGAAATTATTTTCAGCTTAACTAAAGCACTTTGATAATGTTACATGATGCAAAGTATATAGGTGTTTAAGTTAACATGCAAAGACATGGTATTTTTTCCTGCAAGAAATCTAATGGAGAAATGTTTTTGCCAAAATCAATGGGTAGATATTTTTATTTTTTCTTTAGCATTTATCTAAATAAACCAAGCATGCTATTAGACAATTTTTTGATTGTGTTCTTAATTACAAAAGCACTTGGAATTTATTATGCCTTCGTGACTAAGTCGTTAAATAAGGTCATATTGCCATTGCAGGTACAAAACCCACCGGGTATTATTTCATGCGAAGAACCTGGCTAATCGAAAATCAAAGGTGCCAGCGTGTCCATGTAATGATGACATAACAGTGTCAGCACAGCTTTAAACAAGAAAAAAAGTTTATTATTCGGTTTTACCTGGACTTATCTGGAACGGGAATAAAGGCGGGGTTTAAATATGACTATGAAAACGGACTACTATATTGAAGAGTTTGGATAGATGTAAATTGTTGCTCGTTCTTTCAGATCTAGCACGGAGTATATAACACCGTACTTCGGGGTAATTCGCACTTCGGGATCCAAACCCAAAGTGCGTTACGTACTTTGGGTCTAAACCCAAAGTTCGTTGAGTATTTAAGGGTCAAATTATAATCCCAACATACATTGCATAGGTACATATGAAATTTATAACATCCAACTGTCGGCCGTACTTTTTGGGCCATAAAATATCAAAATAAATAAATTGAATTTTAGTGATATTGTAAAGAAATATCTTATATTTAATGCCAATAGTAAACTAAAAATAAGGATGAAGTAGGAGAAATCAATTATGTGACCTATAGAGTAGAGGCCTATAAGTACGATTTTAAGCTTTGCCAATACCCTGATCATTGTAGCGATTGCATGACACAGATATTTCAATCTTAATAAAATCCAAATCCTTTTACCATAGATTCTGCCGACCCCTCATTGACGACCCCTCTTAAAATCTGGATTTTCCCTATTTCTAGTTACATCAATGCATGATATGGGAGGTAACATTTCTATATTAAATAATTATACTTCTTTCTAAGATGAAAATATCTGCATTGAAATGAATACAGCGGGTTCCATCCTGGCATCGCTGAGAAAAATGGAATATTCAAGATGGCTTCCAAGATGGCTACCTTATTATAAGAATTCATCATGTTGATCAAGATAATAGGTGCAAATGTAGATAAAATCCACGTCCATTAATAGCAAAAATCATTTTAAACACTTATGAGCCAATTTTCGGGAAATACGGAATTAATCTCTTTTCTGATATGGTGGTTATTTCAAAATGGCAGCATTTTTGGTGGTACATAAAACATAATTATATATATTTTGTAAAACCTTACAAATAAACTGTAAGATTTTATTGATTCAGAGTATGAAATGCCTCTCCTGTAAATTAACGTTTACAAAAAGTTTCACTCACGAGTGCCATTTCATTTTTAGACTTAAAATGGTGTCCAAGATGGCCACAAATTGAAAATATAAGTCACTACGGACATTTAAATATGTATTTAAGAATACGCTCGTACTTTAAAATAACTAATGCTAGCAGTTGCTTTTCAACATGGTAAACGTTTTCGTTATCGACGTCATTAGGCCCAAATATTTAGGAAAATCGAAAATTGTGAAACAAGTTTGAAATGGATTTAAAACAGTAGCCTTCACACAACTTTACTTTAATGAATGATACTTCTAACTTATTTGTTACCTGTCAATTAAACAGCAATTGCATTGTTGAAATTAATATGCAATGAGATGACATTTACTGCATTTCTTTACATCTTTATCATATTTCATTTAGGGTTCAATATGGCTCCAGAACTTATTCTGTAAATGGCTGACAGAACAAAATGCATCGAAACGTCTGTCATATCTAAGACAACATTTACAATTCAAATACTGTAGTTAGTTATAGAGTCACAATTTTTGTGATATTTAAATTGGTAAAATTCATGAAACATTATCAATTACATTTAATAAGCAACATTTTTTTAGAGTTCTGATACTTCAAAATAAAAAGGCACTAACTAAGATTATTTAATTGCATATTGATGCATCTAAGTATCGTATACGCAGCCGTAAGGGAAGCGGTGGCCTTGTGGTTAAGGTGTCTGCCTCTCACCTCAGGGATCATGGGTTCGAGTTATAATCGGGTCATGACCATGTTTCTTCATATGACACCAGTACTGGTTTGTTACAGGAAGCGGACTCGATAATGATTAATATAAGAAACCCATTTTTCGATTTTGATCCAAAAAAGCGTTTTACTCCAAAGTGCAGAATGACAGGGTTAAAAGTTGCATAATATGTTATGAAACAGTCCGCGATTATGAAACGTTTGCGTCAATGCAAATTAGCACCGTGACATTTCTTTTTCATATTGTTTTCGTAACTTCTGTTAAAACTTCAAAAGTACCATTATAAAACATTGTATCATGACTAGGAGTGGGCTCACCACAAATAAAACTTATAGGGACAATATTTCTTGACCTTACAAAAGCATTTGACTTAATCAATCATGAATTGTTATTAAAAAAACTAAAAGTGTATAAAATAGATAAAAATTCAATTTTTTGGTTCAGATCATATTTAAGTAATCGTTCACAACAAATATGTGTGTCAGGAAAATACTCTAATGCTCAAGATGTTACATCTGGTGTACCTCAAGGCTCAGTTTTAGGCCCTCCTCTTTTCATTATTTACATAAATGACATGCCTTTGCACTTATCACATTCCATTTCAAATATGTTTGCTGATGACACTTCCATTACAGTATTTGGACAAGCTATCAATTCAATCTGTATAAATCTTCAGTCTGACCTTGACTCTATTCAACAATGGTGTACCAGAAATTCAATGATTCCAAATGCCAAAAAAAGCAAAGCAATGATTATTTCCCCTTCACATAATATCTATAATATCATTAATAACTCTAGTGATTTCAACATCACTCTGCAAGATGAAAGCATTCAATTCTCAGAAACAGAAAAACTTTTAGGAGTCCATGTTGATCATACACTTAATTGGAAAACACATGTCAAGATGACGCTGAATAAATGCAATCCTTACTATATCTACTTCTGAGAATTAAACCATTTCTAAATCTTCAAGTTAGGAAAATGTTCTTTAATGCATACATTCTTCCTCATTTAGACTATTGTTGCACTATTTGGGGTAATTGCAGTAAGGAACTCTTAAACGACATGTATAAATTTCAAAAACATGCAGCAAGAATAATACTTGATAAAGATTTTGATACGCCTACTGATGAGTTATTTTCTGAATTAAACTGGATGAAATTCTCTGATAGAGTGAATTATAAAAAAATGCCATTTTAGTATACAAGTCCCTAAACAATCTTCTCCCTGATTATATGCAAAATCTTTTTACAAATACAGAAAATAAATCATTAAGATCATATGAACAAAGACTTCGTTTAGTCCCCAAACCAAGAATTGAATTCTGCAGAAAATCCCTATCATATTCAGGCTCCAAATTTTGGAACTCCCTCCCTTTAAACATAAGAAATTCTTCCAACTTACAAACATTCAAAACTAATTATCTTAAATGGTGGTTCTCTGGTGGGTACCAAATAATCTAGCTATGTTTAAATATCACATATATACATGTATGTCTCATAAAATGTACAATTTCATACTTTCAAATGTTTGTTTTCATTTTCTTATTGCATTTTTCAATTACTCTACTTTTCTATGTTGTATAACTTGTATACATTAAGTTTTCTTTCTTTGTTTATATAAATCTTTGTTTGTAACTGTATATATGTACATTTTTGATAGAGGCTCATAGGGAATACTGGGCTTGCCTAACTATGTTGCCTCTTTAAATAAAGTCTTTATTATTATTATTATTATTATTATTATTATTATTATTATTATTATTAAATAAAGTTAAGGTTGATGAACCACACTTTATTTTCAAGAGCAGAGTACCAGTCTGGTAGCGAAATGAGTTACAAAACAGTGGACTAGCTATGTAACATTGTTATTTTCACAACTTACGTAACACTTA